CGGGTGAGGTTGTCGGAGTGTCGGACTCGCGAATCGTTCGATCAAAGACTCGAGGTCCAACTCGGCTCGGCCATGCGATGCTTGGCATCGGAGGTCGTCCTCCGCCTCCGGCAGGGCCAATGCGGCTTACGGCACCGTTCCAATGTCTCGAATGACGCTCTTCGTACCCCGTCACGGCCAGCGGGTGACACTGTGCGCCCACCGACAGACCTGTATCGACGGGCGAAAGGTTGGTTCTGTGGATTAGAAGCCTGGTTCCGTCGGCTCTCATGGGCTTGCGGTTGCTCGACAGCCGACACGGGGCCAAAAACTTGCCGTGACCTCTGTCCCACAAGAAATTGCTGTAGAACACAAAGAGGGCACCGCTCGCATACATGTTGGAGCCGACCGACTTGAAGGAGTCGGCAAGGATACCATTGATTCCAGCCTCTGCAAGTACGTACAGAGTAAGTACACAGGAACAAGCCAGGGGAGGGCGCAGTGGTGGTCGCTGTGGTGGGCACTGATGGGCAGGTCCTCTTGCCCTCTCCACCGGCGGCCTCGCAGGGTCGAGCCTGGTGAGGGATGCGAGTTTTACTGGCTCCTAGATGATCCAACTTGTGGACTTGAAACACGTGTCGTCCTCCGGTGTTTGCCAGGGGGCCACCGGGGGCCTCGGGGGCCGGGGTCGGGTTTGGAAGCAGCGAAGCGGATAGATGGTAACAATTCTTGTGGCCTCGTCAATCATGCAACAAAAGGGAGCGAACCGTCGATAGATGGACTGCCCAGGGACGCGGTGTGCAGAATCCGATATCCAGCACGTCCAAATTGAGCACCGAGATGGAGAGCCCCAGCAGCGGTGAGACACGAGGGCTCCCCGTATTGCTCTGCTGCGTGTGTGAGACAGCAGTGCGCATCCGGCTGGAGAACCGACCCCGCGTCCAGGATCGTGGTCGCGGTGGGGGCTGTGAGCGAGACGGGAGCGAGGTCTCGGAGGGGACGAGGGGACCTGAGCTGCCCTCCATGAATACGTCCAAGGCTGAGGTGCAAAACTGGGAAAAGTGGGCAGGTTGTGCGCAGCCTTTGTCCGGCACCCCGTCTACGGCCCTCGAATAAAGTGCCCAAGCCCAGCTCCGTTGCCGCGGGGAGCCAGGTGAGCCAAGTTGCTGAGTAAGGCAGGAAAGTCTGAGAGGCGGAGGGAGGGCATTCGGCGGGACAGACGGAGGAGAGGAAGAGGCAAGAAGGCGTCGGCTGTGAAGTCAGCTGCTGGGAGCCCTGGTGGCGCCGGGCAGACTCATGATGGTGCGACCGGCACTATGCTCGATGGTGATTTTACCAGAGCATGCGGCATCGGTGTTGTGTCTGTGTCTGTGTGTCTCGAGTCTTGACGAAGGCGGGTGTCTGGTTCGGTCGAAGAATATGGCGATTGTCGGGGATGTCAACAGGAAGAGGGCGCATCTTTATGATTCCATTCGCGGTGGAAGCGAGGGGGCCTCGGAGGGGGCCCGGGGGAACCGGCAGAAGATGCAGGGTGGGAAAAGTGCAAGAGTGAGAATTCCCCATGTCCCCGATTCGGTGGGACTGCGGGATGCAAAACTTCAGATGGGACTTTGTGCAAAATGTCATCATCAGCCCGGCGCGAGACCCCTGCTCCATCCAAAGGGGGGGGGCTGGTGGGCTCGGCACCCCGCCGCCCAATTGGAACCGGCAGCTGTGGCGTCACCAAATGTCGATCACATTTTCCGGCTAACCCAGATGGGTAGATCCATGCCTCAGGCATTGGACCGCATGCGGGAAGAGGGGGAGGGAACGATGTTTTTTTTGGGAGCCCAGGCAGCGGGAGCCAGGGACTTGCCATTCCACCCACCTCGCGTGCCACTCGACGGCATTCAAGCAGCACCGGCAGCAGAAGCAGCAGAAGCAGCAGACGCAGACGCAACGCACAGCTGCCTCCAGACGACACGCCCATCTTGCGTCGCCACGCTTCCATCTTTGCATCGTTGTTGCACCATATCCGTAATCTGTCAACCGCGAACGGCCGCTCGGTCGAGACACTGTACACAACCAACGACACTGCCGTCCGTCACTCGACGAGTCCGTCCACCGCCTTGTTCAAAAAGAACGTGGCCTCCGCGATCCCAAACAAACTCCGTCACGACCACAGCCGTTTTTAACCTCTCTTTCCCCCAAGATCGTCCCCAAGATCGTCCCGGCAGCCCCTCCGCGCCCACACCGTTGCAAAAACAGGACTCAACCCTGCATTCTTGTCACCGCACCAGCCCGTCCGCGCCTGGGTCACCAACAAGGCACACAACCGCTGATCGCGGCAACGAAACCGGCCGCGCGACTATCTCCTGACCAGCCCGGCCACCCCCACCGTCCACCGTCCACCGTCCACCGCCAGACCAAGTCCCTCGACACCCAGTCGCGACCGCTGCGCTGCTGGATTTTCCCGCAGAGCGAAGGTCTCTTTCCCGAAAGAGCAGCCATCTTCCGCCGCATATTCGACCAGCCGAGTTTTGCCTATTCGTGACTGACGCCTCTATACTTGCGCAACGTCCATCGCCCGCCCCAGCGTGCCAGCCCAGGAAACGACAAGTGGGCCCTGACGTTCCGACCACCAGTTCCCACCCGGACGGCAAGCTTGCCCTTCCCACCACCCCAAAGCCAAAGCCTTGGACTCAATTTCTGCCCTGACATCCTCGCCTCCACCCAACACCCACCCATCCATCCCAAATCTGCCGCGCAGTGCTCTCGCCAGCAACAACGGACTCGCTCCCATCGCCATCTGCGCGACTCCGGCGCCGACGAATGGTGGTGACGACCACCTCACGAGTTGAAGAGAAGGAGACCCAAGGACTTTTCTTGCCCGTGTCGGCCACACGACTCTTCCCGATCCCGCACCACACCGCTTCGTTCGATTTCACCCCCTGAACCCGACATCAATGGAGGACAACACCACGCCTACACAGCCAAGCAACATGGCCACAGATTACCGCTCCGACTCGTCGTCGGCGTCCTCGGTCGACCACATCCACACGCCGGTACCGACGAGACCACGCCTCCCGAGCCGGAAAAGCAGCGGGACCATGATCATTCACCGTGACTCGGTCGACACCGCGCCTGCCGATTTGCCGCTGGGCCCCGACGACGTGCGGTCGATGAGCCCAAGACGATCGAGCGAGGATATCGAGACCCTGGGCAAGGCCGCGAGAGAAGAACTGCAACGGTACGGTCTCTGCTGCCTGCACACGGTGTATTTTTGGCTGACGTGATATTGGCACAGACATGCCAAAGCCCTCCAGGACTCTCTTCTCATCCTGTTCGATCGTATTGAGGCCGTCAAGGAGGAGCACGACAAACTGGACAACAACAACAAGTTTTTACAAAAGTACATTGGGGACCTCATGACGACAAGCAAATTCACAACAACCGGCACCAAAGCGAAGAAATGAGCGTCTGAGCCAATCCCACGATTGGCCGTACGAGAGGTGGTTTGACGGACGTGGGAGCTGAGGGGAGGGCCCGGACGACAGCGCTGGTCTGGCGCTCATGTGCAACAGCATGGAGGGCCCGGAATTTGGGGTTATGGGAAGCTTGACGGGTCACTCGCAGCCCAGCCAGCAAGAGAAGGTCGGTTGCCAGATGGTCGTCGTGTATCGGCACCGACGGGGGCGAGGATCAGCGTCGAGCACGCTTTCTCATCGGAGAAACCAGGGGACCTGCTTGCCGCCAATACCCCCCCTCGTGGAATTTTGCGAATGAAGAAAGCACTGGACGCGGGAGTTTTTTGGGGCAGCGTCTGCTGCGTTTCTTTTTACTGACTGAGCAGAAAGAATTATACCACGGCTTGGCTACAGCCTCGGGACGACTTGGAAGAAAAATACTGCATTTGGTCATGGTCGCAGGGGCGTCACTACCGGCCTGGGTTGGGCATAATCATGGCGTTTGGCGGGTTGGGCTATTGCATTTCTGGGGATGGGAAGCGGGTTTTGGCACTGCCGGGCGTCTCGTTTGGGACACCAGATGATGGTCGTGTAACATTAGGGGTCCTACCGTAGACATCTGAGAAAGTGAACGATATCTCAATCTTCCCCAAGGCCCTGTATTCGCTTATTTGGCCAGTCGGGGGCCACGGATCAAGCTGCTAGCAGGCCTCTACATGGCCAAGATTCTAGTGGCTTTCGAGCAATGGCACACCTTTTTTTTTGCAGCGAAAGTCTTCTCCAAGCCTTGCGCAAGGCCATGCTGAAGCCAGGGTGTAAACCTCCGTCAATGGTCAGAATCTCGCGTGTGCCATTCCTCCCTGTTACAAAAGACGCCCTGTACGCCGCCACAAGGTCTGACTGGCTGGCCTTGCGAAGAAGTGGAGAAAAAACGAAACGAAGATATCGTTCACTTTCTCAGATGTCTACGGTAGAGCATGAGCAGCAAACATAATTCAAGCTGTAATCCATCATAGTAGCATATTCGACGGCGGTGTTTCAGCGTGCCAGCGCAACGCGTTGCTTGGTCATCACATGACGCCTGTCCCAGCCAGACTGCGGTATCGTGACCATCGGCCGACCTCGCCACTGCCAGGAGGGAGGTTGTTTGCTCCGCCGCGCGCGGCAGAGCTGAACTGGTCGCTTGGACAACAAATGCGCGTGTCACCCCTGACTGACGTCACAGTTCGCGAAACAGTCGCAGGCAGGCCCCTGTGCCGACGGGAATCCTCATCGGTTTTGAGGCCTCGCTGTACGAGATTCTCGCCGCGGCCGTACTTTGTACACAACGATGGCTGCAAGATAGTCAGCGCCAAGTACCAGCGGAACGGACGAGGCTCCGTGGGAACAGAGAGCCCCTTTCCCACAGCCGCCCCTCCGACTCCCCGCTTTACCTGGACACCCCACCCGTGAGGCCTGCGATCTCAACCCATGATGCAAACATGTTTTTGGGACGGTTGGCTGCCGTCGGAATGCTGACCGCCCATGCCTTGTCCTTGGGCCCCAATTGCGCATTCCCGATTTAACCAAACAAAAGCCTTCGTAGCTCAATGGTCAGAGCGTCAGACTTTTAATCTGAATGTTGCGAGTTCGAGTCTCGCCGAGGGCGTAATCTTCGCCAACTTCCATGGTGGTTGTAGCTTTTTGTATATTTTTGCCCTGTTTCTCCTGGCACTTTATATGCTCCCTCTTTTTTCATGGTCCTCGCGGGTCCGATGGGTATTATGAGCTCTTCGTGGCATACCCGTGCCACGGCTCATCACCTCTGTTCCTGACAGCAGGCACACCAGCAGGAACAAGGCACCAGCCCCTCCCTCCAGCCCGATTTATGACGATATTTCAATGTCCGCCAAGGCTTCATGATTCAGCCGCCGTCCATGGGCAAGGCAGATCAAAAGGGAAGAGCGAAAAAAGCGGGTTGCAATTGCGAATCCAAACCGGACCCTGAATGCACAAGTCACCCGACTTGCATGTTCCCGATGCAGGGTTCGTCGGGAAGCCGAAAAACATGACTCAAAAAAGGGGCGGGTTGAAGTTGGAAATCGGATGCCGCAAAGTCGGAAGCCTGTCTCCAGTGCGCCCCCGCAGCGGCCCCTGACCCCCACTCTCTGGCGCCATCCCGATGGGACTTCGCATCACAACCGATCAAACCCACACTTGGAGTCACGATCACCTCAACTTTGATGCCGTCAATCAATCACACCCACCACATCCACCACGTGTAGTATTGACTGGAGACACCAACATCCGGTCAACAAACACTTTGTCGAAATGCCACCCGAACCAGCTGATGAGCAGCAACCGCTCCTCGGGAGCAGCGGAGCTGAACATGCAGCGACAGGCACAGACACACGCGACATCCCCAGGGATGCCGAGGGCCGGGGCGGTGCCGGCACCTTCACGCGCAACCTCGGCACCGTCGAGGCCTTTGCCATAGTCATCAGCATCGTCATCGGCAGCGGCGTCTTCACGTCGCCGGGGTCCATCGACACCAACGTCCCGTCGCCGGGCGTCGCGCTGGCCGTGTGGCTCGTCGGCGGCGTGCTGGCCTGGACGGGCGCGAGCACGCTCGCCGAGCTGGGAACGGCGATTCCCGGTGAAGGTAAGGCACCCCCACTCCCCACCTGCGCACCATTGAACGCTGACGAGGGCATCCAGGCGGCGTGCAGCCCTTCCTCAAGCACATCTACGGCGATGTCTTTGGTTTCCTGGCGGCGTGGACGTGGATCGTCGCCGTCATGCCCGCGACGCTGGCCATCCTGAGCATCGTCTTTGTCGAGAGCATCTACTCGGCCGCGGGCGTAACGGGTGACGAGGGCCGGCTGGCGCACAAGCTGCTGTCGGTTGGGATTCTGGTTCTGGTTGGTCTGGCCAACTCGATCAGCACCAAGGCCACGACGCGGCTCAACAACTTCTTCGTCGTGACCAAGTTCGTCGCCATCGCCGGCGTGGTGCTCGCTGCCGTGGCGGCCATCGGGGTTCAACTCATCGGGCGCGGGGGCGGGGAGCGGCCGGACTGGAGGCGGTCGTGGTTCCGGTATCGCGACAGCGTCAATCCCGACGGCAGCGTGACGCACTGGGAGGGCTTGGGCGAGTGGGAGCTGATGGGGCACTTGTCGGCTGCGCTGTATGGCGCGCTGTGGGCGTATTCGGGGTGGGACAAGGCGATTTACATCTCGGCCGAGATGTCGAGGCCGGCGGTGCAGCTTCCGGCTGCGATCAACATGTCCATTCCCACGATTATTCTGTGTTTTATTGCGGCTAATGCGTCATACTATATCCTCCTGCCGTGGAACACGGTGTCGACGACGGATAGCGTGGCTGTGGTGAGTCCATCCTGCCCTCCTCTCTGACATTGGTTGTTGTGACTGACGCAAGCAGACGGCAATCACGCACTTCCTCGGCCCTGCCTTTGGCACCATCGCTGCCATCCTCATCTGCCTCGTCGTCGCCGGCTCCCTGCTCGGCAACTCCTTCGTGGCTGGCCGCATGGCCGTCGCCGCCGCCAATATGGATTGGTTCCCCCGCCTGTTCAGCGTCGTCGGACGGGTTGGGTCTCGTCCTGCCGTCGACACCGAAACCAAGTCCGACGCCCCCATCAACGCCATCCTACTGTCCACCGTGCTGTCGACTTTGTACATTCTCTTCGGCAGCTTCCGAGCCCTGCTCACGTTCAACGGGATCGGCGAGTACACGTTCTTCTTCCTGACGGTCGTCGGGGCCATCGCTCTGCGGTACCGCGAGCCGGAGCTCAAGAGGCCGTACAAGCCCATGTTGGCGGTGCCTGTGACGTTTGCCGCGGTCAGCGGGTTCGTGGTCGTCCGGGGCGCGGTGTTTGCGCCGGCGCAGGCGGGGATTCTCTTGGGGCTTTGGGCGGTTGGGGTGGTGTTTTACTTTGCGAGGGCGCGGTTGCGGGCGAGGGATGGGCTGTAGGGCGGATGGCATGGAGGATTTTGGGGATGGAGGTCATGGTGGTTTTGGTTCTTGGATCGGGACTCCTTGGTCGTCGACTTCCTGCCCTGGCCCTGGTGGTGTGATGCCATCGAGGGATACGTTTAATGAAGGAGCAATGTTTGGTTCAGTTGTTACAAGATATGGAAGCAAGATACACAAGCATTATCTATACTGAGCATTTGAAGCCATCTTGCCATGAGACTCTTGGAAAGACTGCGCCAGTGTGAGTTGGGGTTCCGGTATGTTTGGTGTGAGGTTGATCGGTCACTGCTCAGGGCCCGTTTGCTCCTTTGTCGCCACCGGTTCCCTTCAAGTCAAGGAGAAAAGGCATGTAGGTTTTTCCAGCCGCAAACACTGCCAACTGCCATTGTCACGTTGGAAAACGAGAAGAGGAAACAATGGAAGCATCATGAGGTGGATCCACTTCCTTCAAAATCCCAAGTGCTCTTGCCAAAAGTGAAAAGAATGGGCCAGTCATATGGCCAAATTTTCATGAATTTGCTCCCACCTTCCTTGCCAGAGTTCCTGTTTGATCTTTTCGTCCCTTCCATTCCCATCGTCCCCAGGCAGCCGCCCCACTCTGGCCAGAAATTCAGACTCGCTCGAGAGCCATAAATTCACCTCTCTGTTCCCCCACCAGGCCACTCCTTCTCTTCCCTTCTCCTCACCCACAACCTCTTTTCCTGCTGTCTTCACCAGCCAGGCCCTTCCAAATCCCCTCGTTCCTCCTCCAAGCAACCTTCAACAACTTGAACGGGCCACGATGATGTTCCTCACGAGCTTCACCTTCTTCCTGGCTCTGGGCTCGGCCTCGCCGACCCTGAAGACCTCGGCCCGCTCGCCCTTGGGCGACCTGGTCCTCGCCCCTCGCACAGCCATCAACGACTGCGACATTGGCGTCTACGAGGATCACACTGACGACAAGTCGCCCTGGATTGAGGACTGCCAGTACCTTGCCGACCATCTCCCTCAGGAGACTGTCGACCTGGCAATGAATGGCGAGTACATGCAGTACAACGAGTACCAGAGCTGTGCCGTTGGCATCCAGAGCTACAACTGCCAGGATCCCAACCAGCTGGTACTGCACCCCTTCCCTCTGCAAAGCGATGATTCTCCCACTGACATGTTGATCTCTTTCCAGAGCTGCCGCCTCGACATTAGGCGGGCCAAGATTGGAGATGAGGACATCCGAGGCGTCCTCCACAACGCCATCGCCATTGCCAGGCGTGATGGCACGGCGGCCGGCGGCAAGGTTGGCGCCATTGGCTGGTTCAACTGCCAGATTGAGGCATTGAACAGCTGGGACAAGATCAAGTGGTCCATCTTCTGGAACCACGAGGTCAGGGATCGTCGCCCTCCCTCGGCCCGCTCGCTCCCTTCTTCGGCCGAGGACGTTCTCCCTCCTTCGACCCGCTCGCTCCCTCCTTCGGCCCGCTCGCCCTTTGGCGCCATCAGCGCTCGCACATCCATCAACGATTGCGACAATGGCGTCTACGAGGATCACACCGCCGACAATTCGCCCTGGATTCACGACTGCGAGATCCTTGCGAACAACATTGCGAACAAGAAGTACGGCACCACCATCCTTCCTCTCAACGGCCAGTTCATTCAGTACGCCTCGTACAAGAGCTGCGCCGTTGGCATTCAGGGTGCTGATTGCTCGGACAACCTGGACACGTTTGTGAGTCTCCCCCCCCACCCCCACCCTCCCAAACGGCGCCCTGGTGGACGTGCTGGCTGACATGCAATGATCTCTCTTCAGGAATGCCATACGAACTTCATGTCGGTCAAGGTTGGAAACACGGACATCTCCGACTCCATCCACAGCGCGATCGCCCTTGCCAATGAGAAGGGTACAGCGGCCTCGGGCAGGGTCGGCAGCATTGGCTACTTTGACTGCCAGATTGAGCTTGGGCTGGGCAAGAGCGAGGGAAGGGTCAAGTGGTCCATGTACTGGAACCCCTACCCGGAGTCCGACCCTTATGCCGGCTCTGGACCTTAGGTTCCGACGACGTGACAAGGTCCTGGGCGGATGGACACAGCATGGACAGTTGATTTCAGAATCAGAGCTCTGAGCCCTGGGTTTCGACAAGGCGGCATGGATGGGGGGCACCACGGAGAGAATGGTGGCGGAGACAGAGCACCGTAGAATCCAGAACCTTGAAACCCAAACTGCCTTCTGAAAGTGAAAACCCTGACAATCACCACTTCGTGACATGATGTCTGCACTGCAATCCCGAAACCGCCCAAGGCTCGTACCTACCTTCGTTCACCATCTGGTTTTGCCTGTCCCGTGTCTCAAGAATTCAGTCGAGGGTGGTTGAAAGGGAAAGTGGAAATATCATCCCACGTCTCGGTCTCGGCAACCGCGATTCCGTTCTGTGATCCCGTTTGAGTCCTCTTCTCCGACGTCCTTTGCTGTCTGAATTTTCTTGCCCCACCCACTTCCCAAGAATTCGCACTCCCTCAGGCCTTTTAAAACCCCCCTCCTCCACCGTCGCCTTCTTTCTCTTCCCCTTCACCTCACCCCAAATCCGCGCTGCTTGTTCCCTCCGGCGAGCACTTTGTGGAAGCGATTCCACGATCCCCTCTTCCTTCTTCCAAGCAGTATCCCACCAAGCCCAGCCACGATGCTCTTCTCCGCCCTCGTCGCGG